GGGGGGGGGGGGGAGGGAGGCCGGGAGCGCCCCGCCCTGCCCCGCAACGGCCTCTCCCGGCGGGGCGGGCCGGGGGCGCGAGGGCAGCTCGGCGGGTGGGAGCTTCACCCTCCTTCGGTTATTGTTTTTTTTTTTTCCCTTTCGGTGCCTCCTTGACGCACAAAGCGGTACATCCTCACTGCGGGAAGCCGCAGCACTCGGTTGGGTTTTGTCTCCTTGAAAATTGCTCACAAATTTTTCCCTTACGGAAATGAGTTTTGTTTGTGTGCGTAATAGGGTTTGTTATAACGTCATCTGTTTTGTGTGCAAAGTTGGTGTTCTATTTCTGAACTAATATTTTAAAAAAAAAAAATCATTGTCAGATGCACTTTGCCTGATAAACAGGGAAGCAGCCTTCATTCAGAAATGTAGGCCAGGATCTTCTGAGGTATGTAGGTTTGTAACTCTTACTGAAATGGGCAAGTGTTAAGGATCTTTGTTTTTTAAAGTGTTTTTGTTTTGGTGATTAGGGCTGAGCCATACATTCGTAGAATTTTTGTGCTGTTTGAGTAAGCTCTTCCATGGCTTGAAATGGTTTTGTGAAACCATAAGCAAGGCCTGATTGCTTTAGTTGATTAAATTATACCCTTAATTCCTGATACTCAAGTACTCCTCCAAAAGATGTAATGCAGGAGGTAAGATCTTGTTGTAATAGCCCAACTTTATTGATTTTAATGTGATTACTTCAGAAATCAATATTTGACAAAAAGAAGGATAAGAATTTGCTGCTTTGCATGGAGATCTAGGTAGCTTTTATCACGATGGAATATCTGTATTATAAACTAATAAAGGAAAAATAGGTTTTCGGGTGGTGAAATAAGGCCTTACATTGTCTTTGTTGTAACCAGTAGAAAATTTCAGAGAGAGACTAATTCTGGATACTTAGTAGAAATGTTTTTGAGGTAAATTAACATTTAAAGAATTGGAATATTTTGTCACCCTTAAATAGAAAAATTAAAGCTTCTTCTAGTTCCATAGTTCTTATAGCTTCTTATAGTTAAAGCTTCTGTAGTCTTTGCTATCAGAGTAATTTTCCACCAATTTAAATGGTTTTACTCATCCCTTTGTTGGACAGAGGGACTACCTGAGGGGAAAAAAACCCAAAACACCACAAAAACCAATAAACCACAAAAAAAGTTAGCCAAGATTATCCCCAGTTAGATTTGTACTCTTGCTGGGTGCAAGGGTTGATAGAGGAAGATGTGATCTTGGCTCGTTTGATAAAGTGAACATCTGGTCACCTGTCTGATGCTGTCATCCACAGTATAAAGTGACCTATTGAATTCATGAGACAGGAAAGGCTACATGTACATTTTGCATTTCACTTCAGTTAAATAAAAGTGTGTAAGACACCAAGCTTCCTGTTTTAAAAATCTTGAAGTCTTGCACATTTGAAAATCTGTTTATTGACAGTTGAAGCCCTGGCAGTACAGCTGTGGTTATGTCTAGTGCTGGGAGCCTGGGGGTGAACAACAGCTCTTAGTATTCATGCATATTTCACGTGTCCTTTCAAAATCTGGATGGGAACATTCTGACCTTTCAGAATGTGTCTTTTATGAAGCAGTGGCTTTTTGTAAAAGTGTACTGAGTGTATCTTAATGTATCTGTGACTTGTACTTTATCTTTAAATTAATAACTTTGTAGAGCTATGTAAGGAGATCAGTTATAACAGTCTTGTATTTCAGTGGAGGTGGCTGTGCTGCAATAACATCTGGCTGATAGCAGTTACTGCCTTTTTTCCCCCCCAAGATGAAAAGTCTTTAATTTCAGTTGTTTATATTTCCTCTAATGGTGAGGATATTCTTTTGAGAAGATACAGGTAATTGTGTCCCCTCCCTAGCTGATGAACTGTGGAGGCTTAGATGTCAGTTGAATAAATGAGGAAAAAATTGCTGGGATGGGGAACAGGATGACTTAATTCACACATAAACAATGGGGATAGTACAGAGAGGTGGATTTCCCAGAGGCAGATACTGTATAAAGATTTCCCCACAGCTTTACTACTGTGCAACCTCCTTTAGGTCAGTTTTATCACCAGATCTGTAGTGCTTTAGCTGTTTGCATGTCAGTGAGGTTGAGAAGAGATGTAGGAACATGTATATTGAGTAATGTTGTATGGGAGACATGTACAACATAGGGAAAACATAATTGCTCCCAGTTGTAGTCTTTTAAGTTTTGTCAGTGTAAGTGACAGTGATCAGCTGCTTCCAAAATCAACAGTGCTCTTAAAAAAAACCACAAAATGTATCTGCATCCCAGGTGCTATGCTAGTGAACTTCCTTCAGGCTGAAGTTTAGAGGAGTGTTTTTCTTGATGAGCTGATGTCAGAGACCCCTAATGGAGCAGAGGGGAAGAAAAAAAGGAAAATGTTTCTTTCACTAACCCAAAATTTTGGTAACAAGATTATTTTACTGTTTTACATGTTTTTACATAGTTCATGCTATTTGGAAGAGCAACTAGTGTGAATTAAAGAGATGTCTTCCTTGGTGTTTACCAAGTGAAATCTGAGAAGGCTGGTTCATGACTTTACTGGGAAGAGACTTCCTTCTGTGTTTTTTTGCCAATGAAGTGCAGTCCTAATACTGGGCTGCTGTCAACTGGGATGTTTCCTTTTACCCACTGTCACTTGGCTTTGCTGAGTGAAGGGTAGAGAATTCTGCTGCACTGTCCTTTTCTCTTAAGCTGATAGATCTACTCGGTTTAGTGTCTGAAAAATACCCTACTTCTCACAAGTTTCCTGAAGAACAGCCTAAAACTGTCCTAATAGTTAATTTCATAATTCTCACTTGCCAGGTTCTTGTTAGCAGTTGTGGCGAAGATCACGTGTTACTTTGCTGCTCAAAGCTCTATCAAGAAGTGTTTGCAAAACGACACTGCATTAAGAACAGTTACACATACCTCAAAGGTCAGAACTGCCAGGGGGACTAAGAAATAAATCTTTTAATTATTTTTGATGGCTGTGTAACTCAGAACTTCCCTAACTGTCTCTGAAGCAGAATTCCTAGTTAAGATCTTAAGCTCCAATAAAAAAAAGTGTATTTTTAAGTTCTTTTATAAAGATACGACTCCTTATTCCCAAGTTCATTGCTGTTATGTTTGTCTTGGAGTTCACTGAAGCCAAAACATTCCAGATTGCCAAATCATAACGCTTATGTCTTAAAACCATGATTTACGTAGTGTTAATGTAGCTAACTGAGTTTAAGCCTAGGACAGAGCAAAGAAATGTCTAGACTGAAGAATGTGCTTGTGAACACCGTGTTTGTAAAATCCACCTGCTTGCCTCCGTTGTGCAAAACCAAACAGATTCTTTGCCCAGGTGGATATGTGCGTGCTAGTGCTTCACTGGTACTTGATTGAGGCTAGGATTTCTGGGGTGCCGTATCATCTTGGACTGTGTGTTCCTTGTGGGAGAACTAGCTTGTTGGTGGGACTCTGTGCAGAGGTGCTCTTAGCCTGCCAGCTCATCCAGCTGAGGCAGCTCCAGCTGCGCATGCTCCTTGTGTTCTGTCTATTCCAGCTGGAGCCAGGCCATAGATCTGGTCCTGCGAAGAGCTCTTCTGTTTGTAGCTGTCCTGTGCTGGATTTTGTTAGAAAATGTGAGAGACAGACACTTTCAGTAGTGTTTCCATAATAATAGAGTCTCAGGGGTGGATAATGTGGCGTAACAGAGCTGTAGCTATTCTATAGGTGACCTGACATTTCTCTTACATTTTCTTCTTCATTTCTCTTCTCTTACTGGTCCAGAGGATGGATACTGTTGGTTACGGTACAGCTACTGTGGTCTCACCTATTTTTTGAGGTGGCTCGCAAAGCTTAGTAAGAGTGGTATTGTACTTGAAATAACATTGTTTCACTTTAAAAGTAGACTTTCCAAGCCAGTGGTGTTTGCTAGTAGTTGGCAAGGGGTGAGTACACCTGCCTGCAGTGCTGTAACTCCTGTAACACCCCTCTGCAAAAGCACAGACTCTTCTGACTGGGCTGGATGTAATGGAGTCTTTGGGAGACTGCAGGCAAGAACCCATCTCCAGAACGTTATCATGCCATTAGTAACTAATACTGTGCATGTTACTCTGAAATACTGTACCTTTCTGTAGGGCAAAAGAAGTAGTCTGCTTGCAGAATTCTCAGGTAATTTTGTCATTCAAAAAACGGAGTATCTGTCATCACTGTGCCTGCATTAAAGCAAACAAAGGAAATGGAGAGTGGTTTGTAATGGTATTTCATATTGTCCTGTGAATCAAGATGTGTTTGAGGTGACATAGTATCAAATCAAACATGATAGAGTTTCAGATAACCTTCTGGTTGTTGCTATTTTGTAAAGATTCATAGATCTCTAATTATCAATTGCTTTATTTTCCAGCAAAGATTAGAAGACCAATATATAGTGTGCTAAAATTTAGTAGTTAAAACAAGCCTTAAAAAGCACCGTTTGTCTTGTGAAGTGGTGAAAATCAAGAGTAACCAAAAGTGAGGAACAGTGCAAAAAACTTTCAAAATCTGATTGCTCTTGTTTTGCTGATAGTGGTACTGAATATTGGATATTTGTGTTCTTTTTACGTACTCTGCATTGTACAGGGTGTCCCTGCTTGATAGGAATGAAATGAATAGGGCATGACTTGCCCCTTTTAGGTTAACAAGTGGGCTTTTTTCATGAGCTGCTCACTGAGTTTTTTATTTTTGTTGGAGCAGGGCATGATAGCATTGAGATTTGATCTTCATGGGATTATGTTGGGGGTGCAACTTCTCAGATGGTTCCAAATCCTGTGTCAACTTCCATTGCATCAGGGTCATGCATGAATCAGTCTCGTTTGGCTCCCTGCCCTTGAGAAAGGGAAGTAGTAGTACTTAGGTTATCTCATTTTTGCTGAAGGTTTTGTACAAATTTTACAAGCTTTTTTTGTTATCCTGGTCCTTG